GGAGATGGGCGAGCGAGGGGGAATCAAATTTGGGGGGCCAGGGGGGATCGAGTTTGAGGGGGCAGGGGGGAGTTTCGAGATTGGGGGGCCAGGGGGAATCGAATTTGAGGGGGCAGGGGGGAGTTCCGAAATTGGGGGGACAGGGGGAATCGACATTGTTGGGGGAAGGGGCGATCGAAAATGTGGGGGAAAACGTGAGGAAGTGGGGGAGTCGACAGGTGGTGATCGGGATTATCAGTACACAAATGCCACAACCCCCCCTCAAATATTTATCTGGAGGTACCGAGACCTTGCCACCTCCAGCGGGCATCACTCAGTTACCACTGTTTCAAATGTTTATCACTTGAAACAAATTTAAGTGAATGTGTACCGCGGCTTTAAAACCCCTGTGCCATCCACCTCGAGCTTTCTTTGGTTGGGAGATCCTTCCTTTGGTTGGGAGATCCCTAGGAGTACTGGCGACAAATTTTACGACCACAGATTTGCGCGGTTAGCATTTCGACCAATCGGGGCCCAGCATCGGTTTTGATGAAGTAGTGAACCCGGGTCCAACTTGAACTTCAAGTTGGGCCCATTTGGTGGAGCTTACAAGCAGTAGGGGCTGGGCGACAGGTGGCGCGCTGCTTGCGAAATTTCCCGAGCCATTTTCCCCACCGTAAGTCAGGTTTTCCCTGCCAACCAATCAGGTAACTGCATCTTCTCGCCCAGTTTCCCCTGCTTGCATTCCTCTACAGTGTACCCTCTGCCCCGTCGCAGTTTTGTCCCTTAGTCGCAAAAACGGACGTCTGTGCCTTTTCAAGTTGGACCCGCCTTCACTATTTTGACCTTTCGCTTTAACAGCCAATCCCGTCTTTGTACTCAACCAACCTACCCGCCGTTGAACTACTTGGCACACGGGTCTTAAAGCCCGACCGGCAGGTTGCAACTCTCTTTTTCTCAAGATGCTGCATCTTGAGAACCTGTAACTGACTCCACCCGCAGCAGCGGTTGACGAGACTCAAGCTCCTCGACAAACTTGGCAGGTTTGCGTCTGTGCCAAGAATCGAGGTGAGGAAGCAAAGACTGTGCGCGAAGGGTAATTATTTGTACAAATTTCAGGCTCCTCAAGCTTCAAGGAAAAGGGTATTAGACACCTCTACAGGCTGCCACGGCTTGATACACTAGAATTTGGTGGGCCTAACATTTTAGACAGTGCATTGGAAGGCATTGGGGAAAGGAGCAGTCTTGTACTTCTGCATTTTTTCAACACCAGTGTGACTGATGATGGCCTGCAGCATATTGACACGCCTTTCATCTCTCAAGAGGTTGGAGTTGATGTATAATAATAACCTCGGTGTTACATATTCGGGCATGGTGCACTTAGGGAGGCTGACATGCCTTGAAGAGCTGTTTCAAGTGGACTGTAGAATGAAGGATAACTGGCTGCTGGACTTGACAAGCCTTTCCTCACTCAAGACGCTGTCACTTGTTGGCTGCCAGCATGTAACATCTCCTTCTCTGAATAATAAAATGACTAGAATGAGGCATACAGGCAAGTTTTGTGCTATGGTGCTGTACTCTCTATGAGCATGCACTTATCTAACCTATAACAACATATAAATATGTTAACACACTCCCTAGGCTAGACAAGGGGTAGTGCCAGGCTAGAGACACGCAGCTAAGGATGGCACTACTAGTCCAACCTCTAAGGAAAACCAGTCAGAAGAGTACAAACTAGACAAGAGCAAACTAGCGCGGCATAGTTGATATCGTAAAGATATCAACTATGTCGGCACCAGAGGCCAAGTGAACTACGCGGGCCTAGCGTCGCTACTGTAGCTCGCGCAGGAGGAAGTACCGCAGCTGGATGTGCTTCGCTCTGCCCTCCAGTCGAGGCTCTTGACACTGGAGGATCATGGCCCCAGTTGTCAGCGTACAGTAGAACCGAGGCAGAGCTAGGCCGCTCACCTAAGTCTGTGAGCAAGGAAGTCACCAGCGGAGCTACTTTGCCGCCATGGAACCAGCGTAGATCTCAGCCTCACAGCTAGGCTGTGCATCAGACGACGAGCGAGTGCACCTCCACGAGATGGCGCCTGCACCGAGGCTAAAGCAGTAGCCCTGGGAGGACCTAAGCATCTCAGCGACGTCCGCCCACGAAGCGTCTGTGTGCCCTGAAAGGACCACTGGCCTGTGTCCTCCTAGCACTAGCCCCATGACCGATGTACTCGCTAGAAAACGCAAAACCCTCTTAGCGGGCGACCAGTGCCGGTGTCTGCTTGTCGTCACAAAGCAAGCCTGAACGCTGTGAGGGTATGCGAAATCTGGACGAGTGCAAGTCATCAAGTACATGAAGCAACCCACTAGCTCTGCCTACAGACCACTAGGCTCTACCGATTCGTCAAGGAGTGGAGCCAAGAGCATGTGATCTACTAGCAGAGGTGTGGGCTGCGCGGAGGAAAACTGAAGACGGAACCTCTGAAGGACCTAGCGCACCAAGTGTGACTGTGTGAGAATGATCGTGCGCGCTGCTCTGTCCCTCGAGATCTACAGGCCAACATAGCGGCGCAACTTTCTTAGGTCAATGCAGGTGTGTCTTTTGAGCAACTCATCTTTCACAGAGGCCAGTCGTCTCTGTTTGCAGTAGCGAAGACCGGGTCATTTACGTAAGCAAGTGTGTAGAACGGGGTCTGGCCTGAACGAACGAAGAGCGAACGGTCTGCAAACGACGGGAAAAACTCCAGGTCAGCTAACGTAGCACGCAACGTGTCCTGCCACTCACGAAGCGCCTTCCGCAAAGCGTAAACCGGGCGTCGGAAAAGCCACTCGGTCCGAAGGGCGAATGTGCCGGTGAAGTCTGGCGGGCGGCGCAGGTATACCTACTCGTGCACACTGCCCTGGAGAATCGCTGTAGAGAAGTCAAGGGAGTGCAGCTCGTAGTAATGCTATGCAGCTACGTGTAGAAGCGCTCAAAGAGTGGTCTTCTTCGGGGTCGGGGCGAAGGTCTGAAAGAAGTCAACACCCTCGCGCGGACTGAAGTCTTTAGCAACGTAGCGTGTCTTGAACACCGGCAGCTCTCCAGGAGGGCGCTTCACCTTGAAGAGCCACCGACCATCGATTACGTTCACCCCAGGTGGGCGAACTGCGTAAACGTAGGTGCCGGTGGATCTCCAAGATGCCATCTCCGCGTCCATGGCAGCTATCTACTGAGAGGCCCAGGGTCCTAAGGTCGCCTCAACGTGAGTGCGAGGGGTCGGGGTGTCAAGGGCGTTTAGGTCACCCTCACGGACTACCAGCATGGAGCAGATATGGTGAGCGGCCTTGGATAGGAAAGCTAGCTCATACTGCCGGTCCTCTAGGACGTCACTGCCAAGGGCACATACACCCCCGACGGACGGAGGACAGGCAAGGTCGGAGACCAGAACTGTGGAGTACTGAAGGCAGCGGGTAGAGGGAAATTCAGCGACGGTAGCAACAAGAGCGTCAAGATTGGAGACAAGAACGGACGGGTTGGTATCACAAGAGGCGAGAACGCGAGGAACAAGCGGATTAGCGGCACGGAGGATGTCAGAGAGTGGAGGCAGAGAGACAACAAGCAGTGACTGGGGAGGCGACAATAGAAGAGGAGCACGAGATGCGTGAGAGCATAGCAATCTAGGGTGAGAGTGCTGGACAAGAGAAACAGGACGAGCACGAGAGGCACGGTAAAAGCACCAGCGGGAAGGGGGGTCGGGTCAGAAGAACACGAAGACATAGGAGGAGAACGAGGGGGGAAGCGAGCCAGGGACAAGTCCGGCATAGGAAACACAGGGCTGTAGATAGGTGGGGGATGCGTAGGAGGGCGGTCGGGGGAAGGAAGACCCAGGGGGCGAAGGGCGGACACCGGTGGCGATTGCTGCTAGTGCTCCACGCCGACTTTAGAACCTCTAGCCGCACCACTGCTACCTCCGGGACGCTCCACGACAACAACCTTAGAACGAGAACCCTCTCCAGCGCCGATGCCACCCCCAGGACCGCCGGAACAAGCCTCGACGGTATCCTAGGACTAGCACCCCCAGAACGAAAACCCTCTCCAGCACGGGTGCCACCCCCATTTCCGCCGGGACAAGCCATGACAGTACCCCGAGGACTAGCACCCTCCTCAACGCCCGCACCCCTAGAGCTCGCGGACCCCTACGGTGGCTGCGGCTGCGACAACGGCTGCTACTGCAGGGGCAACGACGGTTGCTGCTGCGGTGGCGGAGGAGGAGACACCGAGGTGGAGACGGGCGGCGAAACCGGAGCCGAAAGGGCCCACAAAGTACGCCAACTTCTCCACCAGGACAGCAATGTGCGAGTGCGATTGCACAAGGGCAAAACTGACGCCCAATAGTTGGAGTTTCGTTTTCTTCCAACTTGCCCGAACAAAAAGAAAAGAGGCTGGCTGTTTGCGCAAAGACGCAGGCACGCAAACCCCTTCGCAACATGGCAAAGAGTCAAGTGCGAGTCCCCTGCCACCTGACGGGGCTCAAACCTGACACCTCTTCCAGGTTGCATAGCCCTCGGGGACTCTCGCGCAAGCAGGAGCTGGACGAAGATAAAGTTTCGCAAAACGATTTCGTTTATCTTTTTCTTCGTCAACCAATCATAATTTGCCGCCGCACCTACCTCAACAGTACCAATATGCAACCCGCCAGTCGGGCTTTAACTCTTCATTCTGGTGGGAATTTGGTGGATTTTTTATAGGACAACTCCAAAATTATCCGGAAGCTGGCCGTCAGGCGTCGCAGTCGTCTGCGACCCAAGGTGTGTTCTTTCGCATTTCGTTTTGCGCATGGTCTGACAATTTGATTTGTCGCGATCGGGGATCGTTCGCAAAATATCGCAGCCTGGTCGCCTAGTTTTTCGCGGAGGGGCTGGCCAAAGTTCACCTACCACAACTTTTGCCAACCAAAACCTCAAAATTTGGCCAAACTTTTGCTTACGTGGCGAGTCAGATGGCCAAACTTAAACTCGGCCAAACTTCAGAACGCCATCTCGCACACAACTTCACAAAGAATGGAGTTTTGAGCTCGGTGCCCCCAGGGTTACCTCCCAGCGGGAAACCCTGAGGTATCTTGTGCCAAACTTGGGGGTAGGATTTTGCGACCTTGAATTTCGGGATGCGAAGTTTTTACGGGAGGCTTGAGTGTTGGTGACCACATTGATTAGTCGGAACATGCGCGGATGGCCAACGCACGGCGCGGAATGCGCGGAACGCGCGGAAGGACAATAAGGCGCTCAATGGGGGGACGGGGAAAGCGCGGCGGAGCGTTGGCGCTCTGGCTCTTGGCGGAAAGTGGGCTCTTTCTCCTCTTGGCGCACCAGGCGGAAAGCGCGGCGGCGCATGTTGCGCTCAGCTCTCCGGCCGGCATTGCGCGTGGTGGCTACTCCATACAGGTAGTTCGTATTTTCAAGGGAGACTAAGTTATGCTCTTCTTCCCTCCCCCTATGCCCTCCTTTCCTATGCCCTCCCGCCCAGTTATCCCACCCGTACCTCTCCTCTCGCCCCTCTCTCTGAGCAACAATGCTCCGCACCCTCTTTCCCGCCTCTTCCCCGTCTTCCCTCCCCCCTTCCCTCGATCTCTTCTATCCTTTCCCCCTGTCCTGCGCCGCCTGTCTCCATTCAGCGGGCGCACCCCCCCCACAATTCGCCCGCACACCTTAACCCTCATACGCGCGCGCTGCTCTCAACACGCGAAATCGCGGAGAAGGGCGGCAGAGGCGGAAGCGACCCCCGGACATGGGCGGAAGGGGAGGGGGAGACGGTTGGGCGAGTGGGGGAAATGGAGGCGGAACTTGAGGGGGGGAAACCTGGAGTGGCGGGAGGAGCGGGGGTGGGGGCAGCAGTGGGGGGAGAAAGAGGGGCCGGGGGGATCGTAACAGGGGGAGAAGTGAGAGGAGGGGAAGGGGAGGGAAAGGATGGTACAACAGAGATTCGGCAGGACTGGTAAGAAGCCTTACTATTATGATTGGTACCTGCCTGGTGATATAGGGGGTGCTGTGGAGCTGTAATGAGGTAGCCTGCTGTAATGAAACTGCTTGTAGTAGCGCAGCCTCTTTCAGTGAATCATAGCAGTACGCAGTATCCCCATTGCCATTTTCATCCATGCTCCTGCCTTTGCATGTCATCCCTTTTAACATGCTATGCCATATCCGATCCCATCCCATCCCATGGCATCCCCCACCACCTTTGGTCCTGCATCTGCGTGCACCACCCCAGGGGCCAGGTCATATCCTTCAAGCAGAAGAGCGACCACCTCAAGGCGCTCAAGGCGCAGGGCCGCTGCAATGCGCACCCCAAGCTCTTCCGCACGTGGCTGTGGGAGAGCGCCTTCCAGGAAGGCTCTCTGGCGTGGGTGCCGCAGCCCGGGAAGCACATTCTCATGGACTGCCAGCGGAGCCAGGTGGGGTCAGGTAGGGTCAGGTGGGGTCAGGTGGGGTCAGGTAGGGTCAGGTGGGGCCAGGTTGGGTTGCTGTTGAGAAAGCAGGTGGAGAAGAGGCGTTCACACATGCAATATGAAGGGGTTATTACCCTGTCGTCGCTTGCTGTCAGCGTGTTAATAGGGAGGCTCTCTGATCCGCAGCAGCTTGAACATGAGTGCCTTTGATCCGTCGCACAAGCGTGCTGGAATTGCACTTGCACACGTGTTTGCCTTGTGCCAGCATCACCATCCCTTTCTACAATGCAGCTCAGCATGCTACAGTGAGACTCACTCACCCTTCCGCCCTTGCACTCCTCCCTCCCTTGCTCCCGTTTCTCCCTGTCGCAGGTGAGCAACCGCATAGGCTGCATGCGGCGGCACCTTCTCCTGGCCGGCCTGCTCAACCGCACACTCGTGGTGCCCCTGCGCCCCAGCGAGGTCACCCGCTTCTACGACCGCCGTGCCTTCCTGCACCTGCCACACCTGCAGGGGTGCTATGGGCCCCGGTCCGTCATCTCCCTGGACCAGCTTCGGCAGGAGGTTCGGATGAAGGCGAATGAGGGCGGATTGAGAGCAGCATTGGGACGAGCAAAGGGGGAGGCGGGGAGAGGTGAGAATGAGGAGTCAGGGGAGGGGGAGGAGGAGGATGAGAGTGAGGGGGAAGGCAAGGTGATGGTGCAGCAGGTGGCATGCCCCTACGAGGCATGCTACATGCAGCCCTGGGCGAACAAACCCTCTGTGCTGCCGGACCTAGAGGGCGTGGTATACCACAACATGACATGGACGGCGCTCAACATGCCCCTCTCCCACCTCTTCACACTCTCCGACCTCCGCACCCTGGGAAGCGTCATCCTGCCCTCAGCTGACGTGGTGCTGTTTGGAGACTCCTACCAATGGAACCTTCATGGAAACCTCTCAAAGAGTGTGGGTCTGCCGTTTAGGCCTAGCGCTAGCGGGTTGGAAGGCTCCACGTGTGCGAACAAGCTGGCAGTGCAGCCGCACCCAGCCATCCTTGAAGCCGCCTTGGGATTTGTGCAGCATGTCATCTGGACCCCTTCGGGCTCCTCCGCTTCCTCCTCTCCCTCCCCCACTGCCTCTTTGCCTGGCGTTCCAGCGGCAGCAGCAGAAGCCGATGCTGCCTCAATTATTTTCACTGCTGCTGTTGCTGCAGCAGGGGCGGCTGGTAAGGAGACTGGGTCAAAGCAACAGGGCACAACTACCAGCAGGATGAGTGTGATGGGGAGTGCAGGGGAGCCGCAGCTGCAGCCGCAGCGGTATCTGGCAGTGCACTGGCGGCGGGGGGACCTCCTAATGCTGTATCAGGAAATTCTGGCCCTTTTAACGGCGGAGACTTCAGGGAGGTGCATTGGGGAGAGGACGTTGAGGTCTGGAAACATCTCCACGGTGTTTCTGGCGACGGATGCCGATGAGAAGGAGGTGGGGGAGCTGCAACGAGCCATTCGGCACCACGTGCCTGGTGTGAAAATTGTGCAACTGCCCGAGGTTTTGAAGGGGGAGGTATGGGCAGAGGTGCTTGAACCGTTTCGGTTCCAGAACCAACCATTGCTCAGGGCGACCCTTGACAAGGCTGTATGTGCGTTTGCTGATGTCTTCATGGGCACGCCTAGGTCTTCGTTCTCGACTGATATTGAGAGGCTAAGAACTGGGTTAAAAATATCAACATGTGAAGATGAGTACATTTGTGAAAGCATGTTGAGTTGATTTGAAATTGTTTTGTTAATATATTCACAGCTACTGTATAAAGAGTGCTGCGCTCTGTAGTGCGAACTACGCCGAGGCGTGGCGTGGTGGCGTGGCGGCGTGTGTCTGGCTCGTATGTCGGTGAAGGTTCCTTGGCTTTGCGCGCTAAAGAGCAAGTGGGATGACGTCAAACTCAACTGCCCACCAACCAAATGAAATTCAACCTAGACCTTCCTGCATCCTCTAATCACTTTCAGCCACGTGCAGCTTGCTTCTCGAACCACGACTCTCCTGCCACACCGCCCCCTTAAGGCAGTAAGGGCCGCGCGCAAGGCTGCAAGCGCAGCCGCTCCCGCCAACGAATGGCGCTTGATACAGGTGCGCGGAGACAAACTCGGGGGAGAAATGCCGCAAAGGCGGAAGCCATCACCTCCCACACGCGCCAAAGCTCCTCGCCATTGATTGGTTCCGCCGTGCGCTCCGCTAGTTTCATAGGTCACTGGAGCCATGCATTTCTAGTCAGTGTATTCTAGGCTCGTCGTACCTGCCACTCGTAATTATGTTACAGTATGTAATTGACATAAGTACGTACATGATGAGGAGATGACGTAAAGCCTCTTTTGATCTTCGTTGATCCAGCGAGGAACGTTGTGCGTGTTGCACCGTTGGATTCCTCATCGCCCTCGTTCTTCTCTCCATTTCGGCGGGCCAGAAGCTGTCTTTGGTTTGCGTAGTCCAGCCGAGCGTTAGTGGAAAGTTTCTCTCTCCTCCGATTGGTTTTCCATTCCTACGTGCCCATTGTGGTTGGAAGTTGGAACAGCGACGGTGCGCTCGTGCCATAGCACTTTAGAGTACCTATCACTGAGTGCGAGCTATCCGGCAGAGAGCCTTTTTCGTGTGGTCGATCCGTGAAGCTCGCACGCGTTGGTTCTCAGCACCTGATCATCGCGTCATTTGCATCCGATACGAACCAATTCGGAGTCCGTAGCATCCAGAGTCCTCATTCGTTCACTGCCATCCTCATCCTCGTTGCGACTGTTGCGCGATTCTTTTGTCTCCGTCCCGCGACCTTTCGCGGGGCCTAGCACCGCTTTTGTGCGTCGCATGCGATGAGGAACGTCGCCAGCGACTTTACACGCGATGGACCGTCGGGAGATGAAGCCGAGCCGATTATATCCAAGTCGAATCCATCCGAACCGAATCCATCCGAATCAAATCCATCCGAACCGAATCCAACCGAAACGAATCCAACTGAACTGAATCTGTCCAAACCGGGTCTCGCCGTGCATCCTCATGTCGAGCCAGTCCGCTTGCCCACCCCCCCGCGCGGAGCGGAGGTGGGCGGCGGAGATGGGGCGGAGGAGATCGAGGCGCGGGAGCCGATGCCGGCGGATGGAGCAGACGCAGGTGTTATCAGTGGGGATAGTAAGAGCGGTGGCTGTATGCGTGGAGATTGTATGAGTAACGATGAGGCGCAGCCGAGCTTGCTCGAGGAGGAGGAGGAGGGGATAGCGGACCCGCCACTGAGCATATTCTCTATACTCACCTTCTCATGGGTAACCCCCCCTCCCCCTTCCAACCTCCTCTCCCCCGCGCTTCCCCTCCCCCCCTCCCCCCCTCCACCCCCACCCCCAAGCCACAACCGCAATTATTCCCCCTGAACCCCAACGATCTTCCCGTCTCGCTTTCCACGTCCCCCTCCCTCTCCTCCCCCTCCCCTTCTGATTCTGCCTATTAATCGCTCTCTCGTCCCCCCTTGATTTCTTTTCCTTCCTTTCCAGCCAAACCCTTTCTTCTCTCCCCTCCACCCCTCCCCACTCCCCCCATCCCCCCGCCTCCCCACCCCCCCTCTCCCCCCCTCTCCCCCAGCTCTCCCCACTGATGGCGCAGGGCGTGCGCCAGGTGCTGGGCCCCAGCGACCTGTACCCCCTGCCATCCGCCTTCACCGCGCAGCACCTGGGGGCGCAGCTCAGCGCGCTCTGGGCAAAGCGCAACCCTTCCCCCGAGCAGCAGCAGGGGGGGAGAACGCGCGCGGGGGACGGAGCGCGGCGGGGAAGGGGAGGGGGAGGGGCGGGGTGGGCGGGGCGGTACTGGGCGGTGTGTGTGTGGCCGTTCCGGTGGCGGCTGGTGCTGGTGGCGCTGCTGATAGTGGTGGAGTCGGCTCAACGTATCCTCTCCGCCTTTGTGCTCAGGCAGCTGGTGAGAGGGGATGGGGGCGAGGGACGACTGTATGGCTATGGCGTGGAGAGAAGGCTGGGAAGGGGATGGGGAGAGAGGGGAAGGACTGTGGGGGGTGGTGGTGAGGGAGCGGGGTGATGGGAGGTGGGGGGAACGTGAAAGGCTGGGGGCGGTGTGTGCCTTGGTGAGAGGGTGATTGCTGTTTGGCGGGCGGGTGGGAAGAAGGCGGTAGGAGGGATGGGGTGAGGGTGAGTGAGAGGGTGCTGATGGCGATGATGGGCGGAAGAGAGCAGGAGAGAGGGAGGGATGCAGGAGTTTGGAAGGGGACAAGAGAGGGAAAAGGAGGGAGTACCAGCTGCTCCTTCTCCCCTGTCCCCCTGTCCCCCTGTCCCCATTTCTCAGGTTCGTCCTCCTAAGACTCTTCCTAAACCCTCTCCCCCTCTCGTGCTCCCCCTTTCGTGCCCCTCACCCTCTCCCCCCCCCGCACCGCTCCTTCTCCTTCTCCCCAGGTTCGCTTCCTGCAGGATGCACAGGACCCAGAGACCAGCGATCCGGCGTGGCGGGGGTATGTGCTGGCGGTGCTGATGGGGCTGCTGGCGCTGGGCTTCGCGCTGCTGCACCACCAGATCTGGAACCTCTCGCAGATCATGGGGTGGAACCTCAGAGTCGCCTCCATGACCGTCAGTGAGTGCGCCTTGATGCACGACGTAGACTCTAGAGCATAGTTGGGTGGGCTTGTGTGCTGCTGCACCACCAGTTCTGGAACTTGTCGCAGATCCTGGGGTGGAACCTGCGAGTGGCGTCCATGTCCGTCAGTGAGTGCGCTTGTGTCTATGTCTTGGAGCACGAGGGGGGGATGAGGGGATGGGAGGATGGGGGGCGGGGTGCTGGGAGTGCTGCATAGTAGGCCCATGGGAGCTCTGGCTGCTGCACCACCAGGTGTGGAACCAGTCGGTCAGTGTCGCAGATCATGGGGTGGGTGGATGGAACCTCGGAGTGCCGTCCCTTCCATGGCGGTCCGTGATTGCTCTTTGACCGACGATGTGGATGAAGGCAGAGCATGCTGGGGGGGGGATGTGCGCTGCTGCACCAGCAGATATGGCATATCTTTGGGGTGGAGCCTGCCCTGCGAGTGGCTTCTGTGCCGGTCACCGCTCCTCAGTGAGTGCGATTTCACTCACCCCATCCCTCCCCTTGTGCATTGCTTCGCTCTGGACGCAGAGTCTTCGTACACCAGAATCCGGGGCTTATCATTGTACAAGCACACGATCAACATCACTGGCCAATCTCGTATGAACGCGCATGCATTACCCCCTGCCTGGCTTCCAACTCGGCCCCCCTCCTGCCCGCACCCCCTGCCTGTTCTCTTCTCTCCCCCTTCACGCAGTCAACCGCAAGCTATTGTCGCTCAACGGCGGCGCCCTGAGTCGCATCACCACGGGTCACTGCATCACGCTCATGTCCAACGACGTGCGCCGCTTCGACGAGCTCCCCATGTTTGCACAGTTCCTCTGGGCGGTGCGTGCTCTCCCCTCCCCTCCCGTTTTCCTTCTCTTTCTCTTTCTCACTCTCATTCTTTGAGTGCTATGTGTGTTCTCTGTCTCCCATGCGTGCCAAGTTCTTCGGCACATTACATGTTCCCAAGTCCCCATCCCTCTCCCTCTCCCTCTCCCCCTCCCCCCTTCCACTTTCTCTTCCCCGTTCTCTTTCCCTTATTCCTCCCCTTTCGCGTTCTGCTCCTTGTTCTCTGGGCGGTGTGTTTTTCTCCTCTTGTTTCTTTCCCCTTTCTAGTCACACCTCTGGCCGATCTGTGCTTTTCTCTTCCTCCCTAGCACCTGAAAGTACTCAGCAATGCGCCTTTGCCAACCTTGTCTGCAACCTTCCAAGACCCCCTTGCCCGGACCACCTTCTCTCGTTTCCCTGTGCTCCCCCCATCCCCGTGACCCCGTCATCCTGCTCCCGCTCCCAGCTTTCCTTAGAACTCGTGGTGGTGACAACTCTCATAGTGCTCAATGTGGGGCCCCACCCTGCAGCTGCCTGCCCCCTGGCGCTCTTAGATTTGATTCGAGTCACAGACTCCCTGTCATTTCCGTCCCCTTCCCTCCCATCCCTGCCTGTCCTCCCTCCCGCTTCCAGGCCCCTCTAGAGCTGGCAGTGGTGACGACGCTCATAGTGCTCGAAGTGGGCCCCCAGCCTGCCTTTGCCGGCATTGCTGCGCTCCTGGCGCTCATTCCGCTGCAGGTGGGATGCTGCTGCTGCTACTATAGCATGGATCATTGCGGTTTAAGGGTTAGAGGTTTTTGGCTAGAGCTATGGGACTGGGAGGTCTGGACGAGGCATTGCCAGGCATGCCTTTGCCGGCATCGCTGCGTTCCTGGTGCTCATCCTGCTGCTGGCGGGGTGATGTGGCTGGTCCGGTTTCCGGAACTCGAGTTTGGAGCATAGGGAGTAAGATGCTGGCATTCTTTTTTGCCTGCAGGGTTGAAGAGTGGAGTTTCTGCTGATGCAGTGGTTGTCTGTCTGTCACACTGCTACCACACATGCGCTCCGCTCTTGCACTTTACTCTCGCTTCTCTACTCTTCCCGCTCCGCTCCACTCCCGCTCCTACTCCTACTCCCACTTCCACTCCCCCTCATACGTAGCTCTCACCAGCCGCCCCCTTCCCTTACCCCCGACCGCCCCTATTTAAAGTGTTCTCTACTTCATCTTCCATCGATCAACCTCCCTTTTCGTTCCCGCATCCCCCTTCCCCTCCTTCCAGGCCCTGTTTGGGCACGTCTTTGCCAGGCAGCAGCGCTTGACAGTGGAGTCAGTCTCACGCACTCGCGCCAGTCACTCCACCCATTACGTCCTTTCATATCCCTCAACTGCCACGTTCTCTCGCTCTCTCTCGCGCCCGCCTGTCCCCCTTCCAGGCCCTGTTTGGGCACTTCTTTGCGAAGCAGCGGCGTAGAACAGTGGAGTTTACGGATGCTCGGGTCAAGATGACAGGGGAGGTATGTGCATGAAGGAATTGAAAGGGGAGGGTAGGGAAGGGAATTTGAGGCAGTGTAGGCTGACTGACATGCAAAAAAGTCGAATGGGAATTCCCAGGTGCAGTATCATCCGGAGCTGGTGAGCACGTTCGTTTGTGGCACTTATGTACAGCACACGTGCGAGGGCTCACTGCTGTCTTTCTCTAAACCCTCGGCGCCACAACCCACCCACCCACCCACCCACCTACTCTCCGCGTGTGCCCCTTTGCACACCCGCCTTCGTCCTGCGTCACCACCCCGCATCGTGCATCCAGGCGCTATCGGGCATTCTGGCAGTGCAGATGTTTGCATGGGGGGCTCCTACTCCTCAGAGGTCTCTGGCATCCCCAAATGTGTCCTCTTTTCAACTCCTCCCATCGTCTATTCTCTCCAGGTGCTGTCGGGCATTCTGGCGGTGAAGATGTTTGCGTGGGAGGCGCCCTTCACGAGCTTCATCCAGAGGATACGCAACAAAGAGCGCAGAAAGTAGGTGATGGCATGGCATGAGATGGCATGAGATGGCATGAGATGAGATGGCATGGGATGGTATGTCATGCTATCACTTCATGACATGTTTTAAGCATGCTGTGGATTAAAATGAGCCAGTGAAATCACAATTTCCTTTCCTTTCCCGTCGCTCTCTGCTCTCCCTTCCCTACTCCACCCCCGCACAGAGCCAGCCAGCATCATTCTATTGTCTTTCAACCAGGCATCATTTATCGCCTCTTCTCCCTCCACATGCTCACAGGCTTCCCTGCCACCGCTCCCAGCATTCTCCTCCCCCTTTCCTCACTCTCCACCCTCTCTCACCCTCCCTCCCCCCCCCCAGCATCGAGCTCGCGTCGTACATCAAGGCGTTCAACGAGGCATCCTACTTCGCGTCCGCCTCCATGGTGTCGCTCGTCATCTTCGCCACGTACACGCTGCAGGGGGGCCACCTGCAGCCGTCAACCGTCTTCTACGTCATCTCGCTTGTGCAGGTGAGGAAATGAGTGTCGGTGTGGGGTCTGGGAGGGACCCGGTATCACCTCATCCGCCTCCACGGTGCCGCTCGTCATCTTCGTACATGCTGCAGGGGGGGCGCTGCTCCCGCAGCCGTCCACAGTGTTCTACGTCATCTCACTAGTGCAGGTAGGTGGGGGATGCAGTCGGCGTTGTGGGGTGGGGTGGGAGCTCCATGGTGCCCCTCATCGTCTTCGTCATGCACACGCACGCTGCAAGGGGGGCGCCTGCAGCCGTCGTCTCGCAGTCTGTGGACTACATAGTTGTGTACGCCGTCTCCCTTGTGCAGGTGCCTTTCCATGGGGAGAAGAACGTTTGGGTATGGGGGACGGGAGGGGAGGGGGAGTGCAGGTTGTCTTGGGTGGGGGGGTTGGGGGGGAGGGGGGCAGTGAAGGGCACCTGCAGGCGTCCAGTGAGATTGAAGTAAACTCAGTGTGCAGGTTTGGGGTTAAGGGTTGATAAGGGGAAAAGGAAGGGGGGGGAAGAGAGGGTGGGGGTTGAGTGGACATGTAGACTAACACCTGAGGCGGCACTTTGGAAACATGCAACATGGTGACTGACTGACGCCATCCCATGGTTTGCATAGCGCAGCGCAGCTTCCCCTCTTGCTCTCTTCACCCAACTTTTCTCGTTCCTTCTTTCTCCTCCCGTCCGCCCTTCTGCTCCTCCCCTTTCTCTCTTTCTCTCCCCCTCTTCCCACCCCTTGTCTGACACTGTGTGAGTGTGTTCTCCCAGCAGGCATAAAGAGTGAGCAGCAGAGGCTGCTGTCAGTCAGGGCCTCTTTATCCCGACATTCCTTCCGCACCATTCCATATGCCTCCCCTCCTTACACCTGCATCTCCACCTTCCCCCAGCTGCTGCGGCTGTGGGTGTGTGTGTTCTTCCCAGCGCCCCGGAGTGGGCATAGAGCGAGAGCAGCAGAGGCTGCTGCTGCCAGCATCACACCGCCTGATTCTGACCCCGAGTTCCCTGCCTCTGCCCTCGTCCCCCCCAGCTGCCGCGGCTGTGGATGTGTGTGTTCTTCCCCGTGGTCATAGAGCGACTGGCAGAGGCTGCTGTGAGCTTCTCTCTATCTCGCCATTTGTTCTGGCCCAATTTCGAATTGCCCCTTGTGCCTGCCTCTGCCCTCGTCCCCCCCAGCTGCCCCGGCTGTGGATGTGTGTGTTCTTCCCCGCAGGTATAGAGCGGGTGGCAGAGGCTACTGTGAGCTTCTCAAGGCTTGAGGCGTTCATGCGGGTGAGAGGCGGGGGGGCTGGGCTGGTGGGCATGGGTGGAAGGGCATGGGTGGAAGGGCATGGGTGGAAGGGCATGGGTGTAAGGGCATGGGTGTAAGGGCATGCATTGGCATGGTTCTGGTTCCGGCGGAGGAGGCACAGCATTGCACATGGTCATTTGGGCACAGGGGAAGAACACATGCCATGTGTGTGTGTCTGTGCTGCTGTACTTGCTGCTGCCATCACTGCTGTTGCCCTGCTGCAAGCATGTTTGTCCTGTCCTGTGTGCCATTCGCCTGGGGCATTTGTTGCTGTGCGTCACCTGCTGTTCTTCTCCCTGCCTTCCACCCATTTCTTCCCACTCCCGCGCTTGGCCCACCGGCTCGTGCCCGCCACCGGCTCACTCTGTCCTACTGCCCCATGACCCGTCCACCCCGTCTCCTTCCATGCTGCGATTGCCACGTCAGCTATCAAGCAGCAGCAACAGAATGGAGGGATCGGCAGCGGTATCAGCTAGTGGCAAGGACACAAGTGCAGGAGGGGTGAATGGAGAAGATGGGGCGACAGGGAAGCTACTTCAGGCACAGGAGCAGAAGGTCGCTACACCATCACCACACCCCCATGCAACATCCGCTGCTGCTGTTACTTCTGCCGCTGCTGCTGCTGCCGCCGCTGCTGCTGGTGAGGAAACGGAGACGAGGGTTGGAGGGCGGGAGAGTGTGTGCACGGTGGTGAACGCGTCGTTTGGGTGGAGGGTGGGCGCTGCAGGCAGGGAGGCAGGGGGCGAGAGCCAAAGTAAGGGCGGCAGCAGGAGCGGCAGGGGCGCCGGAGGGCAGGACGGGGAGAGCGGAGAGAGGCGCCGGGAGGGAGAGGAACAGATGGGGGAGATAAACGGCGAGAGTGAGGGAGGGATAAACGGGGAGCAGAATGGTGGGATGAATGGGCACGGTAGTGGCGGTGGTGGTGGCAGGGACAGTGGCAGCAATGACGGGGGGAGCAAGAGGAGGAGGTGGATGAGGAGGGCGAAGAGAGTGGTGGGAGGAGGAGCAGGGAGCGGGGAAGGAGGGGAGCACGGAGGGTCTGGGAGGGGAGGGGAGGGGAGAGGAGGGGAAGGGGAGCGGGAGGAGGTGGTGGTGCCTGTGGAGGGGGTGAGCTTCAGTCTGGGGGAGGGGGAACTGCTGGGCGTCACTGGCAAGGTGTGCAGGGGAAGGGGTGGAAAAGGGGTTTTAGAGGAAGGGAGGAGGAGGAGGAGGACGGAGTTGTTGCTGTTGAGCCTTATGCTACCTACCAACCATGGTGTATTTCTCCTCTCTCTTCCCTTTGCTGGTCTTCTGCTCCCGTACCCTCTTCCTTTGCATGAATCTTTCGGGTTCCGTTGACCCTTTGATTCCTTATCTCCTCCCTCTTCCCGTGTCTCCCTCCCTGTGTTCTGGAGCAGGTGGGAGCGGGCAAGTCAACGCTATTGGCCGGCATTCTGGGCGATGCTGAGTTGCTAGGAGGGCAACTCGTGTGCCGCGCGGAGAAGATAGCGTACGCTGCACAGAAGGTAAAAAGCCCGTCATCCATGGTGGGGGGTATGGTGGGGAGCGTGGTGGGGTGCGTGGTGGGGGGCGTGGGGGGGGGCGTGGTGGGGGGCGTGGTGGGGTGCGTGGTGGGGTGCGTGGTGGAAGTGCTCGGTGCGCCATGCGCTTGTGCTGCATGGAATGCAGTGTTGTTGGCTTGGCTGTTATTCCAGGCTGCATGCGCCTGCGCACATGCACACATGACCATCTCTTTCATGCATGTAGGCATGTGTGTTGTTTGTGGTTTCTCTATTTGTATGTGAAAACACATGTCTTTACCTTATGCATGCCCTTTGTTTGTGTGGGTCTGGTGTGGTCTGGTCTGTTATGCTCTGCTGTGCTGTGGTGCTGTGTGGTGTCACGTGATGTGCTTGCATGCATCACAGCCGTTCATCATGGCAGGTTCGTTGAAGGACAACATCATCTTTGGCCGTCCATTTCGAAAGGAGCTCTACAATCAGGTGACCAACCGCAGTGAGAGTCCCCTTTCGTTCTTGTTCCTCCCCTTTCGTTCTTGGAGGCACACATGGCACCCTGTGAAGACGTCCCAACAATACTAGTTGCACCAAACACTCACACGCGTGCGTGCGGGCGTACGTGACTATCCCTTCCACCAATCAACCTGTCAAGTCAAGGCAGTATTCTGTGTGAGCGCGCACTCACACGCGACTCCCCTCCTTTTCATTTCCCCCACGCCACAGGTGCTAGACGCCTGTGCCCTGCGGCGTGACATAGCCAACTGGCCCAGGGGCGACCTGACAGAGATCGGCGAGCGGGGGGTGAACCTGAGCGGGGGGCAGAAGGCCCGAGTGGGGCTGGCGCGAGCCGCGTACGCCACTGATGCGGCGCTGCTGCTGCTGGACGACCCGCTCTCAGCCGTTGACCCTGCTGTGGGGCGACACCTGTTCGAGCAGTGCATTCAAGGGGTGATGCAAGGGAGGCCCAGGATTGTTGTCACGCACCAGCTGCAGTACCTTCCTAGGTGAGTGGTGATGGATGGATGGAGGTAAGCGCCACCGCAGCTGCTGCTGCTGCTGCTGCTGCTGCTGCTGCTGCGGGACGACGCGCTCTCAGCCGTAGACCCTGCTGTGGAGCGACACCTGTTCGAGCAGTGCATTAGGGGGGTGATGTAAGGGAGGCGGAGGATTGTTGTCACACATCAGATTCATCGCGTGCCGTTGTAGGTATGCAGCGTGGAGCAAGGTAAGGAGGGGTGACGGAGTTAGGTGTGTGTTGCTGCCGCTGCTGCTTCTGCTGCTGGATGACCCGCTGTCAGTGGCGTTAGGTCCCTATGCTGCTCTACCACCAACTTCTCTGACTCAGCCGTCTCTCCTCCCTTTCTGCTCTCTTCTCATCACTCCCCCCCGTCCCCCCCCCCCAGTTGTGACCGAGTGCTAGTACTTGACGGTGGGAAGCCAGTGGCGTTAGGCCCGTATGCTGCTTTGGCCACACAGGTTGACTTCCAGGGGCTGCTAGGGGGGGATGAGGGGGAGGGGGGGGAGGCGGAGGGGGAGGCAGGGGGAGCGGGGGCGGAGGATGACTTGTTGGCTGGTGGTGGTGGTGTGGTGGAAGGGGGAGAGGAGGGCAGAGAAAGGGGAGGAGGAGGCGGGGAGAAGGCAGGAGTGAGGGAGGGTGGGGCGAGGTTGCAGGATCTGTGCTTGTTCACTGTGGGAGAGGATGCTGATGCTGATGATGCTGGTTCAAAGGGGCCAAGTGGGACTAAGAACATTCTTGAAGAAACCACCACCAGCAGGTTGCCAATCACTAACGGAGCATCTATCGCTTCACCCGCTGTAACCTCACCACCATCGGCACCGGCACCGGCAGCAGCAGCATCTGGCAGCAGTGGTAGGCACGGCACCAAGCGCGCTCCCACCTCCACTTCCTCCCCGCCCCCCACCTCTTGCGATGACCCGTCGTTCCAAGCACAGCTGCTGCGGCGCCTGCGCAGCCTGACCCAGCGAGACCGCTCCCTTGGCCGCAGCAGGGGGGGAGGGAAGCTGTCCCGCAGCCGCAGCATCATGGGCAGCTTCGTGCACCGCCAGCCAGGAGGGGGAGGGGGGGATGAACGTGGGGAGGAGGGTGGAGAGGAGGAGGAAGGAGGGGATGGGAAGGGTGAAAGGGGTGGCGCAGGGACGCAGGACGAAGGCGCAGGTCAAGGTGGGTTGCAAAGGGAACCCGGTGCTTAATGGTGGTGCCTGTTGCAGGGTTCTTCACAGTCTTAAACATGTTCTCGAGTTGAATTCTGGTCATCCTTATCTCTTATCTCTCCATCAGGCTTGGTGCAGAAGGAGCAGAGGGAGGAAGGCATGGTCAGTCTAGCCGTGTATTTCGGATACGCCAGGCGGGTTGGGATGCTGCAGTCGCTGCTGCTCTTCCTCCTCCTCGCGTTCGGACAAACCCTCGCTTGTTCTGGCGACTGGTCAGCCTCTCTCACTTCTCTTCCTCTCTTCCCCAATCCCCCCTCTCTTTCTTCCATGCGCACCTCCTCTCACCTCGTCACTCTTCTCTCACTCCATCAATTCGCTTGCTCTTTGGCACTCTGCGGATCTCTTTTCCCCATCGGTCGAACCATCCTTTCATCTGGCCAATGTTCTTCTTCTATCCACCTTTCCTTCGTGCATGCAGCCTTTCTGTCGCATCCTTCCACATCCAGTGGAGCACATCATGCATGCACCCTTTCTCAGTTCCCGGTTCCTTGCAGAATCCCTTGATTTCCTTGCCTCCAGGAATCGGGATAAAGGAAGGGCTAGATGGTCCACCCTTTTCAGCTATCGTTCTTGCACATGCTGAGGCTCTCCTCAACTCCCCTCGCTCTCCTACCTACAGGTTCCTGGCCTTCTGGTCGCAGAAGAAGGACCAGTCTGGCCCCTACCGCCTCATCTACACGGCCCTAGTCCTCACCAACGTGGTCGTGTCCTTTGTGCGCTCGGGGCTCTTCTTCCGGTGGTGCGTGCGCGCCGCCTCACGCATCCACTCCGCCATGCTGGCGTCTGTGCTGGGGTCGCCGCTCGCCTTCTTCCATGCCAACCCCATCGGCCGCGTGCTCAACCGCTTCTCTGCGGACCAGGGCATTCTGGACGACCTCCTGCCGTTCACCCTCTTTAACTACCTGCAGGTGGGACGAGAGGATGGGATGGGTGTTGGGCAGGTGCTGGTGTGTTGGGGATGGGCGTTGGGCAGGTTGGAGGTCTAGCTGACTGGTGGTTGGATTGGATGGAGCCAGGTAGCAACACTCCTGCTACCTGGCTGCGTCCCACCACTAGCGTGATATGGAGTCGGCTCAACCACCAAGCTGTAGTGAGTGTACGTTATCCTCTCTGGACTGATTGGGTCCTAAACCCGTCCCCGCCCCCCCCCTCTCCCTCCCCACCCCCCCGTCGCTCCGTGCCCTGGCCTCAGACGCTCAGCCTGACAGTGGGCACCATGGTGATGGTGGCGCTGGGCGGGCTTTGGATCCTCATCGCCATGGTCCCCCTCCGTCACCCATCCCCCCGTACCTTCCCATCCGTTCCCGCCCCTCATCCCCTCAGACGCTCAGCCTGACAGTGGGCGCCATAGTGATGGTGGCGCTGGGCGTGCCGTGGATCCTCATCGCCATGGTCCTGCTCTTCCTGCTCTTCCTGCGCCTGCGCTACGTCTTCCTCTGCACCTCCCGCGAGGCCAAGCGATTGGAGGCTGTCACTCGCAGCCCAGTCTACGCGCATTATGCTGCCACCATCCAGGTACCTTTCCTCCTCTTGCTTCTCATCCACACTTGCCATGCAACCTCGCGCCTCACCCCACCCGCACAAACCACCCCATTCCTCCACCTTCTTGCTGCTGTTTTCCGATGAGTGGAGGCCTCTGGGAGGGAATCTTACTGCCGTGTGTCGGCACTGTCCCTTCCCACTCCCTGATTCACTACACCAATCTCCCAGGGGCTGGCCACCATCCGTGCGTTCGACGCCCAGCACCAGTCGTCCACCATCTTCCACTGCCCGCTCAACGCCATCGGCCGCGCGTTCTACTGCTTGCTGACTTGCCTTCCCCTACGATGCAAAATGGAACAACACACAACATAGATTTCCCAACCCTAGCATTCCTCCCTCCCGCTCCCCCCCCTCCCGGCCCGGCCCTCCTCCCATCCCTGCCCCGCTTCTTCCTCCCCAACCCCTCCCCCTTTCCCCGTTCCAGGGTTTAACCACCATCAGAGCGTTCGGCGCGCAGCACCAGTCGTCCACCATCTTCCACCGCCTGCTCAACGCCAACGGCCGCGCCTTCTACTGCTGGCTCGCCGCCTCGCGCTGGCTGGCCTTCCGCCTCGACACCATCGTCTCCGTCGTCGTGCTGCTCGTCGCCACGCTGGCCGTGGCGCTCCGTACCACCTTACCGCCTGGCCTCGTGGCTCTGGCGCTGAGTTACACCCTGCAGATGTCAGGCATGCTGCAGTGGGCTGTGCGGCAAGGGGCCGAGGTCGAAAACATGGTGAGAGACAGCCCTTTTTGTATTGTTCCTTCCCCTACCCTCTTTCTTTCCTCAAATGGAAAGCACGGTGAGTAGTTGCCTGTCGCTGCCTCGCACTGGCTCGACTTTCGCCTCGACACCAACATGTCGGTTGTCGTGCTGCTCGCCGTTACGCTCGCTGTGGCGCTCAGAACGACCCTATCGCCTGGGCTCGTGGCATTAGCCCTCAGCTATACCCTGCACATGTCGGGGATGCTGCAGTGGGCTGTGCGGCAAGGGACGTAGGTCGAAAACATGGCGAGCGAACATTTTGAAACGAGGTAACTTTTGAGTCGATTCAAAAGTAACATGGTGAGCGAATACTTTGTCCATTTCCTTCTCAGAACAACAAACACAGTGAGATGCCGCCCGGCGCTGGCCGGCCTTCCGCCTCGACACCATGATCGTTCGCTTACGCGCCTCAAAGATAGTCTCTGGGGGCATGCTACTCCTTACCACGCTCCACGTCGCTCTCTCTCCGCACGTTGCTGCCTTGTGGCATGTGTGGCACGCATGTGCAGCGAGCAGCCCTGTACACACACAGTTGCCGTTACAATGGATTTTGAGGCGCCTCAAAACTGAGGCGTCTCAAAACCACACAGTTGCCGTTACAGTGGAGTTTCTTTGCCCCTGCTCTCCCTCCCTTATCCCTCCATCCTTCACCCCATTTCACAGGCGTCGATCACGCACTAGAGTTTGCACTTGCACCCTTCCCTGTGCCCTTCCCTGTGCCCTTCCCTGAAGACTTGTACAATATTTTTTCTCTATACCCTTCCCTGCGCCTCTTCCACTGGCCATGTTTCCCTTGCTCCAGTTCACAGGTGTCGAGCGTGCACTCGAGTACACAAACTTGCCGCAAGAGGAGGCACAGGAGAGCAGGCAGGGAGGGGGGAGGGGAGGAAGCAGCAGAAAGGACAGGAAGGAGAGGAGCAGGAGCAAGAAGAAAGAAGAGTGGAGAGAGTCGGGGAAGCAGCGGGAGCAGGAGGAGGCGCATGTGCCGGCGGGGTGGCCGAGTGAGGGGGCGGTGAGTGTGGAGGGGGTGACGGTGCGGTACCGCCCCACTCTCGACCCTGTGCTGCAGGACGTGACCTTTCATCTGCGGGGAGGGGAGAAGTGCGGCGTGGTGGGGCGAACCGGTGAGCTACTAGCTACGCTCTGTTTTTGTTTTCCCCTATTTTTTAGAAGCCTCTCAAAATATTTTCACTACTCCCACCTACTCCTCTACTCGTTTCCCCCTCCCGTCTACCCTCACCCCACCATCAGACTCGTGCAAGTCCATGCCGGCACTCTTTCTTCAGCCGCATGCAGCCTTGCAGTAGCCGCACACTTGCCAACCACCTGTCTCCCCGCTGCCCCCTTGCCCCCTCGTCATCCCCATTCCCAGGCGCTGGCAAGTCGACCCTCATGCTGGCGCCCTCCGCCTGGTGCAGCCATCCAGTGGACGCATCCTCATACCACCCGTCTCTTTCCCATGCTCCCTTCACCAATAACACCCCCTTCCCTGCTCCATCTCCCCTTCAGGCGCTGGCAAGTCGACCCTCATGCTGGCGCTCTTCCGCCTCGTGCAGCCGTCCGGTGGCCACATCCTCATAGACGGCGTTGACACCGCCACCATCTCCCTCACGCGCCTCAGGCGAAACGTGCGTGACCTGCTAGTTTTTTGCTCAGGCCCCTTGCGCGTTGCATTCTTCCTTGCTTTTTTTCTGTTCTAATTCACTTCTTCTCAGCTTCATGTCCACCTCTCTCGCCCTCCGCTTCTCTTCCCCGCCCTCATGCCCCTTGCCCTCCCTCCAACCCTGCAAAATGTGCAGGTCATGGCCATACCGCAGGACCCTGTTCTCTTTGGCAGCTCTCTCCGATTCAATCTCGACCCTTTCAAGTGTGTTCGATTCTGCTCCTGCGCCCCTGCGTAACATTCCAATTTATCCGTCTATTATATAATGCTGTATTTTCTGGTCTTCCTCGTGCACTACAATTCTGTGGCCCTGTATGTATCTCCCACAATGTCGTATGGTCTTTGAGCAAGCTGCTAATGCAACCCCTGCAATCCCTTGCTTCCTATTGCATTGGTCGGCACTTCATTCCCTTGGCGCAGCTTCTTCCATTCCCCCTCCTCCTTTTGCTTCCCCTTTCTCGCCCGCTACACCCTCCCCCAGTCAGCACCCACACACAGCCCTATGGGAGGAGCTGGATGCAGTTTAGCTGAGAACCAGGGGGGGGCTGTAGCGGGGGCTGTTGCTTCTCCCTCTATTCCCTTCCCTCCATTCGCACACACTTCCAAGTGGTTTTTTGCATAACCTTTTCCTCTGAACCCCTCTTAACCCCGAATCCCTTCCAGTCAGCACCTGGATGCAGCGCTATGGGAGGCACTAGACGCGGTGCAGCTGAGGGGCAAGGCGGTGGAGCTGCAGTGGGGGCTCTTCGTGTCTTGTTCCCCCCCTTCTCCCTAGTCACACACACTTCCATTCGCCTTAACCCGAACCCCTTCCAGCCAGCACCCGGATGCAGCGCTATGGGAGGCACTAGATGCGGTGCAGCTGAGGGGCAAGGCAGGAGGCCTGCAGCGGGGGCTGGAGGCGAGCATGAGTGAATTCGGAGAGAACTTCTCTGTGGGGCAGCGGCAGCTCGTGTGCCTTGCACGGTGGGTTGCCGTGCTGGTTTGTTTGTATGATGGGTACCTAGGGTAGCCAGGTGTGTGCGAGTGTGTCGGGCTTGTCTGTCAGCTGCAGAGGCGGCTGGAGGGCAGTGTGTTTCGGGGAGAACTTCTCTGTGGGGCAGCAGCAGCTCGTGCTTTGCACGGTGGGTTGATGATGTGCATGAGTATGTCCGTGCACCTGTGATGTGCAAGGATGGTTTGCAAGGGTGGTGTTATGCTTGCTCTCACCTAAGGGTGGTGCTGTGCATCAGTGGCGTGGGGTGTGTGAGAGGGAGGAGCTATTGTATCTCCAGCAGGGACCTCAGCAGGGACCTCAGCAGGGATCTCAGCAGGGACATCAGCAGGGACCGCCTCAGTGACCTCTGGGGACCACAGCAACGCCCTGGTCGATGCCACATTTGAGAGCGATTCCACTCACGCCTCTGGCTCGCTCCAATCGCTTCTTCCCACCCGCCCCCCCTCTCTCCTTCCCCACTATCCCCCCCACACCCTCCCTTTCCTCTCTTCCAGCACCATCCTGCACCGCAGCTGCATTCTGCTGATGGACGAGGCGACAGCAGACAGTTTCTTCCATCTTTCTTTCCAACTCATTCCTTCCCCTCCCCCCTCCCCCCCCCCTTCCCCCCTCTTTCCAGCGCCATCCTGCACCGCAGCCGCATTCTGCTGATGGACGAGGCAACGGCGAATGTGGACATGGCGACGGACTCACTCATCCAGAGCACCATCCGGCGGCAGTTCGCCGCCAGCACCGTCATCACCATTGCACACCGCCTGCACACCATCATCGACGCGAATAAGGTGCAGTTTAGTGCAGGGAGAAGAGAAGGCTGCATCAATTGGCACCTGCGTGGCTAGTGTAACCTGGCAGAGATATTATATATGCTGGCACATGTTGCCTGGGATTTACTAGCCTCACATTGTGCATATACGCGGCAGCCCATGTACCTTGCTGTCTTAATGCTACCGTGCTATGCATGCATGCGCCGTCATCATACATGGCTTCACCCCCTGTCATTTCACTTCCCCTGCTCTCCGCAGGTGCTGGTGCTAGAGCAGGGTCGAGTGGTGCAGTTTGGGTCGCCCCAGCAGCTCGCAGCAGACCGCGTGGGCTCCTTCGCCCGCATGCTGTCTGATACTGGCCGATCTGCAGAGGCCTCCCTCCGCTCTGCTCTCGCCAGAGATGGTTCACTGCGCGAGGCCTCGCTAAGAGAAGGCTCAATAGCGGAGGCGGCTACAGCAGAGGCTGGGTCTATTCATTGTGTTGGGCTGAGAAAAGCCCTTAGGATCTTTTGCAGAGACTAAGTCCCAGCTGTAGAGACTTGAAACTTGGAGTAGTGCAGCGGAAGTTGAGGCAGTTGAACCCTTGTACTAGTATGTGAGAACAAGTGATTGATTAAAGAAACAAGCATACAGCAATATATAGTAGATAAGAAAGCAGTTGTAGAATACAGTTACAGGAACGGTTTATCGAGTCGCACAGCGACTCGATTGCCGCTTCGGTTACCATCCGTGATGTTGTAACGGTCAGTCGCAACCTCCAGTTGCGACCTTTCGAGTCCTTTCGCATTCTTTGTCCGCCCCCTCGTGTAACCTCCGTTGACTCGCGTGCTCCCCTGTAATCTTCCTCGAGTACAGTGTTACACTTCAGAAACGCTTAAGTCCTTGAGATATTTCCAACACTCCCCTTCGTTTCTGGAGTGCTGGAGTGTTCAGATCCGGTGGCGTTTGTTTGCCCGGTTAGGAGCATGCAGTAGTCGAATTTTGCTTTCGCCAATTTCTTCGTCAGATAATCTGCGGCCATTTCTGTCGTCGGGCAGTAACTGAGTTGAAGTCTCCCCTTCGCGATTTCATCCTTGACGAAGAAGTACCGCAGGGCGATGTGCTTGGTTCGGTTGGCGAAGCCGTCCTTGTTCGCGATTTTGATCGCAGATTGGTTGTCGCAGAGGAGTGAGAAGGCGGGCAGGGTCGCGATCTTCGCTTCTTCGAGTAACTCTCGTAGGTAGAGTCCTTCCTTGGTCGCAGTACAAAGGGCGATATACTCTGCTTCAGCCGAGGATAGTGCGATTAACTCCTGCTTGCTCGACTGCCAGGAGATAGTTCCGATAGGTTCTAGTCGGTAGATGTAGCCCGTCCTAGACCGTCGATTTTCGCTGTCTCCCGCGTGGTCGGCGTCGACGTATCCGAGTAGTTGTACGGACGGTGTTGTTGCCTTGCTGTAGGTGAGCCCGATCGTCGGCGTGGAGACGAAGTAGAGTAGCGCTCGATTGAGTTCTTCGAGATCTTCCTCTTGCGGCTGCTTCAGATGTGTCGCCAGCTGGCTCGCACTATAGGATAGGTCGGGTCGGCAGGTTACTGTTGCGAATAGTAGACAGCCGAGCTTCTGTTGATACTCCTGGATTTGTTTCGCGGGGAGTTTTGTGGAGGCGCTACTGTTGTTCCCGTAGCGGTAGGGAGTTGGGACCGCAGTCGGTGTTAGACCGAATTTCTTCGCGACGGTGCTTGAGTACTTTCCAGCGTGTAGGTAGAACGCCGTGTCGTCTTCGACGACGTTCAGTCCTAGGTACTGCGTCACCTCGTCGGACACCGTGAGCGTCAGGTCCCTTTTCAGCTCCCCTTCGAACCAGGTGACGATGTCGGTGGTAGAACCGATGTAGAGCAGGTCGTCGACGTAGACGATGAGCAGAATGTAATCTCTTCCCTTCTGTAGTCGGTACATGCCTTGGTCATGTGGTAGCTGTAGGAATCCGATTTTTACGAGCCGGCCGTGAAGGTGCTGCTGCCAGAGCCGTGGGGCTTGCTTGATCCCGTAAAGGGATTTTTTCAGCTGGCATACTTTTGAAGGGTCGTCGATGAATCCGTGGGGTTGTTCGACGAAGATTTCGGCGTCCACAGGTGCGTACAAGAAGGCGTTTGCAACGTCGATTTGCCGTAGTGGTAGTTTCTTCGTGGCCGCGATGGCGAGTAGGATGCGCAGAGAGGTGTGACGGGAGACTGGAGCGAAGGTTTCTGTGTAGTCGGTTCCGTATCGTTGATCGAAGCCTCGTACGACCCATCGAGCTTTGAATCGTTCGATGGAGCCGTCTGAGTTGGTCTTGATGCGGTACACCCATTTCCCCGAGAGAATGTTCTTCCCGTTGATGCTCGTTGCAGGTACCAGTTTCCATGTTTCTCGGTCTTGCAGAGCTTTTAACTCTTTTTCCATCGCTTCCTTCCATTGTGCCTTATGTTCCCCCCCCAGAGCCTGCGACAGGGTCGACGGCTCGCGCGGAGAAGGCGGCGGCGGGTGCTGGACGGAGACCCATAGTCCTAGGATCTGCAGTCCCGTGGCTGTGTGTCGAGGGGAGTTTTCATTCTCGGGATAAGCTGCTTCATCACCGTCTTCAGGATCGGGTAAGAAGTTTGGCCCGATGCGTTCGGAAATATTCGAGTCGACGGGGTGTGGTGTAGCGTAGCCTTGGTCAGCGAAGGAGCGAAGGCCCGCGAAGCCGTCGGTGGGGTCGTCTGAGTTGGCAATGTTGTCCAGGTAATGCTGCAGCGTCAGTCGCTCGTAGAAGATAACATCACGTGATGCCACCGTATTTTTGTCGTGTATGTCGAGAATCTTCCACGCGTGAAAATGTTTGGCGATGCCGAGGTGTAGTCCCCACCGAGCTCGTTGAGTGAAGCGTCCTGCTCGAGCTGTGTGGGGTCTGTATTGTACCATGCAGCCGAAAACTCGAAGTAATTTTGTGCTGCCCCTTTTTCCCGTCCACAGCAGGTGCGGTGATGCGTTGTTGGGGAGCGATGACGAGGACAACAGGTTGTGCAGGTGGACTGCATGTGTCATCGCGTCTGGCCACAGTGTATTGGGCAGCCTCATCCCCAGAAGCAGTTTTCGCATCGTCGTCTGCAAGGTCCGGTTCATGCGTTCTGCTACCCCCTGCTGCTGGTGAGCATAGGGCAGAGACACCAGGCGTCGGATTCCCCTTTCCGCGAGATAGGTCCTGAAGCGTTGTGACTGGTATTCCAGTGCACCGTCTGACTGGAAACTCTTGAGTTTGGTTCCTGACTCTCGTTCGGCGATTGGAAGCCATGTGGTGAAGGCCTCGAAGGCTTGATCGCGCGTTTTGAGATTGAAGTGCCAGACGTATCTGGTTGCGGCGTCGATGAACGTGATGACGTAGTTGAAGTCGGCTTCGGTGTCGTCTCGAGGCATGTTTAGAATATCGCTGTAGACCTTTTCCATCGGAGCGTAAGTGGGTGCGCTTGGATTGTGATGGGCTGGGAAAGGTTGATGAGGAAGATCTGCTTCGGGGCATGTGAAACACCGTGCGCGTGGTCGTCGGAGTTCCTGGCCGCTCGTCGTCAGAAGGGCGTTGCGTTCTAACACTTCTGCTTGGATTGTTTGAAGTATCGTGCTGTTTGCAGGATGTCCGAGACGTTGGTGCCAGATGTCGTCGGGAGCGCGGTGACCGGGCGAGCGGTGGTAGATGTCGGCGTTGGAGAAGAACGCGACGACCGAGGCGGGACTTCGACAAGCTTCTCGTGTGGCGGGCATAAGTTGGTCTGCTTCCGTTGGCGGTCCTCGTGTTGATGGTGGTGGTACTCGGCTGGGTCCTGCTGCCGATACTGCAGGTGATGGTTTTGTTGGGACGCTTGCTGGTACTTGTCTTTCTTGTCTGATAACTGCTAATGCCCGTGTTCTTTCTGCTGCAGGTATGGTGTTGGAGTGCCAGAAGCCGTCACTGTCGAAGTCGGGATCAAGATCTGGCGGGTGAGTCCAGGCGGCGAACGATACGATGCCATCGCTGTCGGCAGTTCCGCGGTCGGGGACGAAGTCCAACACGAAGACACCGGACTTCAGGAGGGCACGACCGATGAAGAGACCGCCCTTCCCGTGGTAAAGTCGGAACTCGTTGGAGAAGGAGTCGCACTCCAGGTGAATCCCCTTAGCCATTAGTTGGCTTACGCTTAGTAGGTTGTATCCCAGATTGTCGACGATGAGGACTTTGTTGAGCTGAAGAATAACGTTTGTCTCCATTGATTGTAACTGAACCACGCCTTGTCTGTTTGTTTTCAGGTTTTCGTTGTTGGCGACGGTGATGACGACGTCGTGGTTGAGGCGTCGCTCGTGTTGTACGAAGCGTCCGGAGGAGCACATGTGCTGACCGCAGCAACTGTCCAAGAACCAGGTGTTCCGCCCGGTGGGTTCGGCGTTAGCGACTGCAGCGTATGTCGGGTTGACCTGAAGTCCTTGCGAGCGCGGCGGCGGGAATTCCTCTTCGTCTGGTGCGTAAGTGGGTGGTGAACCGGGTGCGCAGTTGTCGATGTGTACCATGCAGTTGATGATGTTGGGTGTTTGTTGTGCAGATGTTGAAGAGCGCCTTGGAGGACTTGCTTGAGTGGAAGTGACTTGTGGGTCTGCTGCACGGTAAACGCGAGGGCGGTTGCAGTTGACTTTGGAGTGCCCGGAAGTCTGGCAGTTGTGGCAGAACGGCGGTACGATGGTGAGTCCTCGGTTGTCGCGTTGATCTTGCTTGCTGCGTCGGTTGTAGTTGTTGTCATTTCTTCTTTGAGTGTAGAAGACTAACTGCTGTTGCTTCCTTGGTTGTCTTTCCTCGAACAGATCCATCTCCTGTTGTTCAGCGTGAAGCTCGGCGCAGAGGTGCATCTCCGAAATTCTTCCGTGGGCTCGAAGAAGTGATCGTGTGGTTCTCCATTCTGGCCCGAGCCCGGCGAGGACAAGTGTCACGAAGCTTTCTTCAGTGATCGTTCCTCCGCACCGAAGCAGGCGGTCGCGGAGGGTCTGGCAGCGACTCATATACTGCATCGCTTTTTCCCCGGTCTTCATCTGTATTGTTGTCAGCTGTTGCATGAGTCTGCTTTGTGTCACGCTGTCGTTTGCTTGGTAAAGGCACTTGAGGTGGTGCCATGCGAGCTCCGCGGAGTTTCCATAGCTCCGATATGTTCTGATGCTCTGCTGCTCTTGTGGTGACAGGTTCCGCAGGAGGACTGTATACGCCAGTAGCGACTGATACGTGAAGATCTCTTGTTCTTTTCCAGTGCCGTTGCTTGGGAATGGCATGGACCCGTTGAAGTATCCCAGAAGATGCGCGGCCTCCATCAGCAGCTCGAACTCGAAGCTCCAGGTAAAGAAGTCGTGTCCGTTGAACGGTGAGGATGTTTGTAACTTGATGACGTGTGAGAATTGAGCCTGAAGACTGAGAATCTCGTTTGGTGTTTGTTGTGATGCAGCTGCTGTTGGTTGGGCGCGGGGCGGCATGAACTCGAACGTCCCCGGTGAAGAATGATAAGGCGCAAAGGTAGGTGCTTGGTTGTGTCGCCCGAAGGATGAGTTGTCGAGGCTCATCGGCGCTAATCCCATGTTTCCTCCATTGCTCTGTGTTGAATGCGCAGGTGTCCTTGTCTGCTGTTGCTGGTCGAAGTGTGACATGAAGCTGAAGAATCTCTCCATGAGATTCGGGTCCACACTTGAAGAGGGAGACGGAGTCACCATCTCTGGTACTCTTCCTGTTGTTTCTTGAGCAGTCCCGGTCTCTGTCTGCAATCCTGAGGTGTGCAGACCAGAGTTGCCGTGTTGAGTTTCTTGGCCGCTGGGTGAGCCCGTAGAGACTTTCTTGCCCTTGCTGTCCATGTCTTGTAATCAATGAAGTCGTTGAATTGAGTTGAGTTGCAGTTTGTTGATGGAGCGTAGTTGCTGGGAGTTTGGTCTCTGACCAGCTCTCATACCATGTTGGGCTGAGAAAAGCCCTTAGGATCTTTTGCAGAGACTAAGTCCCAGCTGTAGAGACTTGAAACTTGGAGTAGTGCAGCGGAAGTTGAGGCAGTTGAACCCTTGTACTAGTATGTGAGAACAAGTGATTGATTAAAGAAACAAGCATACAGCAATATATAGTAGATAAGAAAGCAGTTGTAGAATACAGTTACAGGAACGGTTTATCGAGTCGCACAGCGACTCGATTGCCGCTTCGGTTACCATCCGTGATGTTGTAACGGTCAGTCGCAACCTCCAGTTGCGACCTTTCGAGTCCTTTCGCATTCTTTGTCCGCCCCCTCGTGTAACCTCCGTTGACTCGCGTGCTCCCCTGTAATCTTCCTCGAGTACAGTGTTACACTTCAGAAACGCTTAAGTCCTTGAGATATTTCCAACACATTGTATGGCAGAGGCCTTGGATGCTGTTCTTGCCAGGGATTCACCTGCTGATGGCAGAGCTAGTGAGGGCGGTGGTGTGCAGCCTGTGGCTGGTGGTACCGAGGGGGATTTGGCTCGGATAAATGGTTCCTCTTGAGGAGAGGCAGATTGATTGTCACATTCTTTTGTGTATAATTTAATTCGTGGCTGCTGGATGCTCATTGTACACAATTAATCAAATGTTAGCATACACAGCAACGTTCTAATGCAACCTGAGGCTCATCTGCTTATCAGTTGTACGATTCGTTATGCACTGTCCAAGAAAGTGCACTTTGTACACGTCGAGTTATTCTGACGCACCTTCTCTACTCTGGCTGGTGTGCTCTATGGATCCTCCAAGAGAAACCGTCTCCCACGACCCGCAACACATGGCACAAAAAAGGCTCGTCTCAGCTGCCCTCTGATCGCCCCCTTCCAATTCGCAGCACTGTTGACAACTGCATAGTGGCTCCCCGGATCCGTATCCACCTCCTGTAACACATCTGCTACAGTTCTGCTTGCGTTTAGCGAGGCCTTCCTTTGCGCGTTCATCACCCACCCCGTGATCCAGTACTTGGGCCCGTCGAAGCGCCAGCGCATGCGGCCTCTGCCGGGGATGGAGAGCAGCGGAGGCCCGTCGTACCCCACAGGACCGAAGTTGATATAGCGGGTCGTGGGGACGAACACGCTTTCCGTCACCAGGCGGAATTTCACGTTGACGTTTCTGCCTCTCCTGCAAGCACAAGCACATGCGGTCGCAGTGTGTTTTCAGCAGCAGCATGTCACCAACGAACATCGCATGGCCAACGCATGGCGATCGCAAGGCACACCCGGTGTCGTATGGGCGACACCCTGCATACCACCTGCCCTGCTGACTGTCAGGGAACGCTAGATGGACAGCGAGTGCGGGGGATGAGGCAAGGGTAAATGACGATGACACCCACCCGATTGACGCCCATAGCTGCTCAGGACCCGTTGGGAGTCCCAAGGGGAAACGCGCGTGACAGGTCCCGTGTGTGGTGAAGGGACAAATTAGGATAGGAGTAATTTCCCTCGGAGGGACAGGAACCTCTTACCAGGAGAAAAGCCTAGTAGGCGTAACCGAGCAAGCGACGCATACATACGGTAGGGGAGGTCGAGCTCTGATGAACTGCTCTATGCAATGCAATGCACATCCACAATCGTCGTGGTATGCGCTAATCACTCGGTGGCGGTAACACCCTTGCTACACATGCAGCGTAGTGATTCCTTATGCGCAAGATTCTAGCGAGCTAGTCTGTAGCGAGCTTACTTGTAAACGGTGATGGTGAGAACGCCATCGGCATCCCTCCGCCCGAAGACGAAGCCGGGGATGCGCTGCTGCTTGAGTACGGCCCTCATCACGCCTGCGCACACACGACGGTTGGGTGATGCATGCATTGCAGCGACCGTTTTTGAGACGTCAACAGATTCATTTCCTCCGCCCGAAAACGGAGCCACGGATGCGCTGCTATTTCAGTACGGCCCTCAACACGCCTGTGCACACACATACGGGTGATACGTGCATTGCAGCGGGTGGGCGGATGGGAGCAGGTGGTGCGAGATGACAGTGAACGCGGTGTCTGGGAGATGGTTAGCGAGGTGAATGTGAAAGATAGAGAGCGGTGTGGGAGAGATTGTCAACAGGTCGTGTGAGAGATCGTAAATGAGGCGTGTGAGAGATGGTCAATGAAGTGCGAGAGGGACAGTGATGTAAGACGTTAGAGAGAGATTTCGTTTTGAGAGACATAGTATATGAGAAGCGGACTATTGCAATGAGCGAATGGGACGTACTGACGGTTCGACCGATGGAGCCAGAAAGAGGGCCGCTGGAGCACTTGACTTGCCAGGAGTGCGAGCACGAGGCGAATAGGCCGAAGAGAAGAGCCAGCAGGAGAATAGCTCCGGCACCTGAAGGGCGCGGGAAGGGCACGGGAAGGGCACGGGAAGGGCCCGAGATTAAAGTAGCGGCTTCAGCTCAGGTAGTTATGGCTGGCTACTCGACGGAGCGCAGAAATTGTAGTAACCGTGTTCTAAGCTTCTTCGAGAGGGTGCTGCTGGTATAAACTCCTACCATGCCGTTGCCCCATAGCTGATGAGATGCCTGTCGCTCAGGGACGCAAACGAAGCTGGGTGACCACGCCGCTGAGCTAGTATTGGAAGATCGAAATACTCAAGAAGGGAGGATGGATGGATCCGCGCTGTGCTGTCAGCATATGCTCAACAGTCGAGCACTTAGGTTTGAATGGTGCAACATAGAATGACTGCTTGGAGAGGGGAGTGTGAGCCATCACAATTCGCAGCCACCGCCGACAGGGGAGGAGGAATCGACGGGTGACTGGCGGGTTGAAGCAAAATTTGGAATTTGATGTGGCGGCGCGTCGGTTGGTGGAAGGCGGGAAATTCTTATGGCTTATCATTCATCGCGGTTCGATAAATTCATCGTTGATGATGAGCTGCTGCGAAAACAGGCACGATTCTGCGACGGAGAGAGGCTGCACTCCACATCACGAAAACAAATTGGTACTGCTGCCTTCGCTAATAACTCTAATAACTTCTCTGAAAATCTTAGAGTTCAACACATGTAAATACGTGATCGATAGGTATATAGGATCAGGCAAGCTCAGTGGCAAGAGTTCAGAATTTATCTCCGCGCCTGAATGAAGCACAAAGCGGAATAAATTTCAATGCAGCTCACAAAATAAACATTTTCATCAAGCGTACTCGTAAGGATTTTGCACGCCTTGGAGGAATTGGTTTGCCTAAAAATCAAAGGTAGGTGGCCAATCGGTGGCACACAGCTTGTCCCTCACTTTCCGGGCCGTAAAATGCTGCGGCTCTCTAGTTGGGCACTTCATTTTATAGATCCACATGCATCGACTACGTTCGCCCCAGGAGGAGGAACTACATTGATGTAAGTGCTAGTGGCTCTATAAGATGCCATCTCTGCCTCCATCGCGTGTATCCACTGAACAACCCATGGCCCGGAAACTTCCTCAGCGTACGAGCGTGGAGTAGGGATGTCCATGGCGTCTAGGGCGTCCAGATCACCCTCAGGGAACACTAGCATGGGGCAGAGACGGGGTACAGCAACCCCAAGGACCATAGGGTGGACACGAGCACAAGGAGAGACTGGACGACCACTATGGGAACGACACATCCACAGGTGGGCAATGGGGGACTGTACATGAGACAAAGGAGAATGAGGGGGAAACGAGTCGGAGACGAGTCTGGGGGAGGGAACAGCGGGCCGTAGAAGGGGGCAGGCTGTAGGGGAGGTGCTGTGAGAGGCACGGGCTGGCGGTCGAAGGGCAGATTGCGGCTGGTGCTGCTGCTTCTCCTGGCCTACGCCAGTACTCTTGGAGTCAGCACCCCCAGGACTAACCAGCACTCCCAGAACTAGCACTGACCCCTAGAGCCAGAACTGGCTCTGACCCCCAAAGCCAGCACCCCCAGAACAATGGCCCACCCCACCACCCCCCCCCCCCCGTAGTTGCTGTTGCTGCGGATGCGGTGAGGACTGCGGCGGCTGTTGCTGCTACGGCTGTTGCAATGGGGGAGGCTGCTGAGGTGCCTGGGGCATCAGGGCTGGGGGGGGGGGCGTTGCAGCTGAGGTAGGCGCCCCCCCAGCCACACAGCTCCCAGAGTCAGCAGACTCCCCCGCGGGCTCAACCGAGGGGAGGGGTGTGGCATCCAAGACACCAGGCCAGGCCGGGACGGGTGGGAGGGGAGCGAGAGGCGGGGCAAGGGCGAGGAAGTGAGAGGGAGGATTGCCACGGTGAGGGAAACGAGCGCATTAGAAGACATATTCGTCAAACGTAACGTCACCGGAGGGAAAGAAGCCGTGCTGCACTAGGTGGTAGAACAGCTAGTCAGGAGGGTCGAGCGAGAATCCGAGGTGAACACATGGGAGGGCGCAGGCCGACAGATTTTCCACGCTGGTGTAGCGGACGTGAGCCAGGTAGCCCCAGATGTGAAACGGAGACACATTACTAGGGGAACCAGTCCAGAGGAGGGTCGGATAAATCTGTGGCCGTCAGGTGCTAGTCCACAAGTTAAGCTGGTGAGCCGCGTACCACACCGCGAACGACCACAGAAGACGGGGGGCACTGGCATGGACCATGGAGGTGCAAGCTAACTTGATGATCCGGCCGATGTGTTGCTCAGCAACCACATTTTGCTGTAGCGAGTCCAGTGGGGTAAACATCTGGGTGATACCCTCAGCACGGCGGAACGCTCCAAGACGGCGGAGGCAAACTCACCATCACGGTCGGAGTGAAGGCGGAGCACGAGCAAGGAGTGCTGGGTGCAGACGACTTAGAGCCACGGAAGGAGGGCGTCAAGTGCATCGGCCTTCCGCTCCAACGGGAACACCTCGGCATAGCTCGAGAAGTCGTCTACGACAACCAAGAAGTAGCGCACCGTGTGAGGCCCTGGGACTGGGGCGAGGCCCAAGACGTCCATGTGCAGGGTCTAGAGCGGTGCAGTGGCCGGAGGAACAGAGGAGTGAGGGGTGACACGCTGCCTGCCCTTGATGCAAGAGGTGCACGTGGGTGCTATCGAGGCGGGGAGGATGGGGAGTGGCGCATAGAGACCAGTGACCAGGTCGTTCTGTGCCATATGATGTAGACACGAGAGGGCAGGGTGGCCTAAGTGGCGGTGCCACAGGGGTGTCAGGTGGGTGAGGGAGCGACAGGAGCAGGACGCGGCTACCTAAACGGACGCATCTACCTCGGGGGACTCTGTGTGCAGTGTGAAGAGGCCTGACAATGGGTCACGGTAAAAGTTGGCGAGGCGGGCACCCGTGGCTGCGTCCGTACAGGTTGCATACCACTCGTAACCAAGAAACGTGGTGGTGACACCGAGGTCCTGAATATGACCGACACTAACCAGATTCCTAGCAAACGTGAGGATGTGCAGGCCGGTAAGGGACCCGGACGGGACAGTCGAGCAATGGAGGGTCATGGTGCTGCGTGCTACGATTGTGGAAGGCGAGTCTGCTAGGGAGATCGGTACCGGTGCTAGAAGCGGTATGTGACGCTCCAGAGTCGAGTATGAATGAGAGGGCCGCTACAATGGGGGCCGGTGGGGAAACAACGAGGAATCCAAGACTACACATGGCAGAGGAGACGGGCGCAGTGACCGCCGCAGCCGTCTCAGAGACAAAGGCGGAGGCAGCAAGGACGGGAACCTGGGGTAGAGGGCTGCCTTGAAATATAGGGACCGCCGCTGCGCCAGTGGTCTGAGCGATGGCGCGGAGGCAGGTTTCTATCTAAGTCAGAGAGGTGGAGAAGGGCTTATTAAAAAGGTCACCGCGGTGCAGTGCTAGGAGGACGTCGCGTGCAGGGCGTCCTGTGTGTGAGGGATGTCTCTAGCGTTTGAGGACTTCGCCAAAATTTTCGATGGTTTGTGGGGTGTGTGAGGGATGTCTCTAGCGTTCGGGGGCTTAGCCGATATTTTTTTTGTCGCAGGTTGGCAGTAGGTACACTTGTTTGAGGGTATGTGTATGTGCTGTGCTGTGGAAACTCAGTACTGGGTTAGTGACAAGTCTGAAATATTCAGGATCCCTAAAATTGTACTATGAAGTGATCAGGATTTGGAAAATGGGTAATCTGGATATTCAGGTTTGGCCAAAAGCAGGGTCTGAAAATTCAGACTAATCAGACCAAATAGTCTGATAACGTCAGCCCTGGTCATGGGGCAGTAGTTAGGGCCCCAGATAGTAGACAAAATTGGTTTGATGGTATAAAAATCAGACTGGATTTATTAGGTTCATCTGGTTGTTTAGACAACCTGTTTTGTTTTGTCTAAACATTATGAGAGATGTTTAAATTTCGTTTGAAAAAAACACACTTCGCCCACAACCCCCCAGGCATAGAGGCCTGTAGCCCTTCCCCGAAGATCTCTCACGGGCAACCCCAGTGGGTCTCTTGACATCTGGCTGTAAGGGACTTCACCAAATTTGAAGTTTTGTGAGGGTCGTAAAAGCAATATCTGGTTTGGGGGACTTACTGAATTTCCTGGGTTACGGCTTACGAGGGGTATGGGAGGAATGTCTCTGGTTGTGGGGACTTAGCTGGATTTTCTGGGTTGCGAAGGGTGTGGGGAAGAATGTTTCTGGCTTGGAGGACTTTGCCGAAATTCCTTAGTAGGAAGGATTGTGGGAGTGGTGTCTCGAAATGTTAGCTAAATTTCTGCGCCCGCAACAGTTTAAGCTGATCTGGGTGATTGAGGTCAGCCTGCAAACAGCCTGGCGATATGCCAAGGAAACTGCTAAAGTTGGGGAGCTTGAATAGCAAGTCTGAATGTGGCAGAGAATACAAACCTTGCTGACCCGGCATAGCCGGTCGGGTGTGGCCCAAGAAGCATCCTAAAAAGGTAGATAGGAAATTAGAGCGTGTCCAAAGTGTTATGGCAGCGGATGGCAACGAATGGCAGCGGATGACATAACGAGTCTCGTCTATCGATTCCCGTACGGACGGATGACAACGGCTACGATTCGATATGTCATCGGATGGCAACGGATGGCGGAATTGCACTTTGGACACGCTCTTATAGTACTGTAATCTGGGTCCGCTAGCGGACAAAAACTTCGGTCCAGTTCCTCCCTCCAGCCCATCCAGCGAGCCAGGGCACGTGGAGAGCCCCTCAACACGTCAGCAAGGGTGGATAAATTCACCCCGCACGAGAAGTATGACTTTGAAAGGCATGTGAATGTACGAAAAAACAGAAATAAAGTACATAGTGTAATATACTATACTTTTGTGATAAAACTTCGTCTGTTTTTTAAGTCAAATCAATAGTTTTCAACGGAACAATCAGACTTGTGCTAATTTCTTGTCTGAATGTCAAGCGAAGGCAAAATACTTGGTTTGATTATCACACAGGCTTAAAAGTTAGCAAGGACCCTGGCTGTAGTGCCTTGGTGAAGATATCAGCAGTGTTGGCCTCTGAGGCCAACTGTACTACACGAGCCTAGCTGCGCTACTGCATCTCACACAACAGGAAGTACCAAGCTGGATGTGCTTCGCCCTGCCCTCAAGTCGAGCCTCCTAACATAGGAGGATCATGGTCCCATTGTGAGCAAACAGGACCGGGGCAGACCTAGGCTGCTCACGTAAGTATGTGAGTAAGAACGTCAGCCAGCGGAGCTCCTGAGCAACCATGGCCCCAGCGTAGATCTCTGCCTCACAGCTAGAATGAGGTACAGATGACGACCTAGTGGACCT